CTAAGATTGAACCTATCCTCTCATGGCTCAATCTCAAGGACTCAGATCATGATCCTGCACAATTCAATCACCAAACACAGTAAAAACAAGCCACATTCAATCGTATTCCACACAATCCTAACCCGAGAGCCTATGGTCACGCACTCACCTTTGCAAACGGATTGAAACGAGGAAACAAGGCACTCCCGACACGACCCGAACAGAAGGGAATAACTCGCGACTCCCTTCACCAAATCAAGGTCTGAAACCTGATCTGGAAATTAGACACCAAGAGCTTCGCAACGGTGTATAGAAAGTCTCCTAACTCCAAACAGATCGACGGGAAAACAGCCCGCAATCTCGCTAATCGAAACTGGAAAAACAGAGATTTCAGAAACAACACCCTGAAATCAAACGAACACAGAGAACGGAGATTACCTCCAAATCAGGATCCGAAACCTAATACAAAAACTATACAGAGAGAGCTTTCCAACGGCATAAGGATCGTCTCCTGATTCTCTCTGGTTCGACGGAAATCCTCCCTCGAAGTGGACTGATCGCAGACTCGAGACTGCAGAAACCTCACACAATCCAACGGCCATAACTCAGCGAATACTCATCCAAAAGGCACGCGGTTTCCACCCACATCAAGAGCAAAGATAGGAGAACTTACCCTCAAAGTTTCACTCTGATCCGATCCGATCTTCCCCGCCAATCATCTCCTCCAAAAACCCGAGCAGAACTGTTTCTCTCTCAAGAAAAACACTTCCCTCACAAAACTCTCTAAAACTCTTTCTCTGATCAAATTTTCGGCCAACCCCAAGAGAAAACGCTTTTCTCTGCTTAAATACGAAACCCTAGGTTCCCTAAACCAACCCAAACCAAACCCGATCAGAAATCAAAACCACACGGTCCAATTTAAGCATGTGTCGCTTGACACAAACCTCTTGTGTCGCGCGACACAGCTCCAGCAAACAGATTCATTCGCGAATTAAATACACGTGTCAATCGACACACAACCAAAAATCACAGTTTTGGTTCACGGGCGTTACAATTTCTTTCAATTTATTTTTAAGTGTAAAATTAATTTTTATTATTTGTGTAAATTATGTCATACGATAAATCAAATAAATTTTAGATTTATATGAATTTGTCGGACATAACAAACGAAAAATATATGTTCCCAATAATGAAAAATAAAAATATTTGTAAATGTAGTTGTCGTTTACAAATAAATAATATTGTTACAAATATAATAATAAAAGCTTCTTAATATATCCGTTTAAAAAAAGATCATATGGTAAGTCTAAATATTACATTTAGTAAAACTTACATCGTAAAATGTGTATTACTGGGTTTATATTATAAAATTAATAAAAAATGTAGAGATTTCCACCATAACATATGATTTGAATTGAAATGGTTTTAATGATTAATTTAAATGACATGTTTCTTAAAATCTCCATTGAATGACATATATGATTTTTTCACCAAATATCTACTCAACTAATTTACAGAGGATTAGTGAC